GATGATGACCTGCTTGGCCGCCTTGTCCTCCGTCAGCGCCGCGATGGCCTTCTTCTGCTTCTTGATGTAGGCCAGGAGCTGCTCCTTGCTCAGGTTCGACCCCTGCTCCATGGCTCCGATGGGAAGGGCGGCGCGCAGCGCTGTCAGGCCCTCTCCATGCCCAACTCGAGATTTTTTTGCCGCAAGGTTTTGACGCCCCGGGACGCCTCCGCCGCGCCGACCCGTCGTTCACCCGCGCCGCCTCACACAGCCGAAGCGCCCCGCCTCACACGGACCCACGATGGTGTCCATGGAGAATCCGCTCCACCGGTTCATGCTCGTCTGGCTGTCGGTTCGGTACTTCGTGAGCCAAATCAGCGACGAGAAGGACTCGGAGATGGACAAGTACAAAAAGAGTGCGATGATCGCCGCCATCATCTTCGTCTTCTGGACTATCGCGCGCCGCCGCGTCCCCGCGACCGGACCCCCCCTCGACCGCGCGGCCGCGCGCCGCGGCGAATTCGCGCCGCGATCCCGTTCGAACGCCGCGCGGCGACCGCGCGGGCGACGCCCCCGCCCGGACTCGCGAGCCGTCGACGCGCGCAGGTGCGCACGCTGAACGCGAGCCAGGCGCGCTACGAGCAGGAGCAGCACAAGGAGGAGCGCGCGGCCGTGGAGCTCGCGATGAAGGCCGACGCGGAGAAGAAGGACAAGTAGGGGCGCGCTCGTTTAAGACAATCGCTAGGAGTCTTAGTGAGGTCGCGTCCGTGGACCGCATGGAGCCCGGAGGCGGGGGCGCGAGCTCACCCGCGGGCCCTCGGACCCCCGGCCATCACACCTGTCTTCTTCCGTGCACTGAGCCTTCTCCGCCGAGCGTCGTAGGCAAGGGCTCGAGGCGGCGCAGCATCGTCCGCAGGCCCTGCCCATTGTTGAAAATTGGACTTTTCGCTTTCAGCAGGTTGGTCTGCACCCACAGCAGCACGCCGTCGGACATGAGGACGAGGGCATTGTCGTGATCGATCTTCATCGTCTCCTCGGTCCGCAACACATTCTCGCAGTCGATGACGGCGACCTCGTGGCCGTAGATGACGCAGGCGCAGAGGTCCAGGATCGTGTCGTGGCGCTCGACGGTGATCTGGCTTCCTTTCCCTCCTAAGGAGGCGACTCCGAGTCGGACACGAGAAGGAGGCGATCCAGCAGGAGGCGCCCAGCTGGGTCGTCTCCGTCGTCACCGACGCCGTATCGTCTAACGTGACGACCATCCTCGCTGACGTCCACCGCGTCGACGCGCTCGACGTCGTTATCCCCGACATGGAGGGCCTCGCGTCCGCGGTCCGCGCGGCGTCCAAGGCGAGCGTCTCGAGCTCCTGGAATGTTCCTCGGCAGCGGCCCGGTCGCCGGGGGTTTGGTGCGGCCGGGGAGAGCATGGAGCGCACCTGGGAGAGGCGCGTCGAGGAACGTGTGTGCGCACGCGCGCGCGTCTCGGGTTCTTGGAGCGCCGCGGCTCTCGCCGGGGGTTTTTGGCTCGGC